TTTGGGGAAAGTCATACGTTCAGATGTCATTCATTGTGATATACTCAGGATGCCATGCACACCAGTGTCATGGCCTTCTGAGCCCTTTCCTACTTCAGTGATGTGACTGATACCATGCATATAGATATTCAGTAATGATTCAAAAAGTTAACCAAACCTATATGTAATCAAAATCTAACTTTCCTTTTGTAATCTGCTTTCATACCACTTACTATTTTTGTTTAAAAAAACATTTGAATTAGTTATTACTCTAGTGACTATTGCAAAGGCTCAAACTCATTGTATAAATACAACAGTATTACTTTGATATATCTAATAATATGTATAGTAAACTCTGGCTGAAACATGCAAAGGTTTAGTATTACAAACCAAACTGTGTAAGATAAAGCAAATTAATATCTAAATTGATTCTTTTCTGTACTTCCTTTCTATGGAAAATAATCAACTGGCAACTATAATTTGTTTTCCTTAGGAATGCATTTCATCTCATACTGAACTATCAACTATCAAGTAGAGATTAGAGAGAGAGTAGGGGAGAGAGAGAGGGAGGAGAGAAGAGGGAGGGAGGGGAGGGAGGGAGGGAGAGGGGAGAGGGAGGGGAGAGGGAGAGGGAGGGGAGAGGGAGGAGGGGAGGGAGGGAGGGAGAGGAGAGAGAGAGAGAGAGAGAGAGAGAGAGAGAGAGAGAGAGAGAGAGAGAGAGAGAGAGAGAGAGAGAGAGAGAGAGAGAGAGAGAGAGAGAGAGAGAGAGAGAGAGAGAGAGAGAGAGAGAGAGAGGGGAGGGGGGGGGGGGAGAATGAGAGAGAGAATGTGGAAGAGGAAGGGAAAGGAAGAGGGGAGAGGGAGAGAGAGGGAAGGAGGAGGGAAGGAGAGGGGAGGTGGGGGAGAGGGAGGGGAGTGAGGGAGGCTGGAATGAAGAGAGACTGAAAGAAGAGAGAGAAGAGAAGAGATTGATGGAATGAAAAGAGGGAGCGAGGGAGTGAGAGAACAGACAGAGGATTGAAATAATGCATCCTAATGTATCCAATAGAAAGGAAGACATATATTTCAAATGACTTCATCCCATCTCTACAGAACAAGTGGTTAGATTTACTTCCTTTATTTTGAGCTGAATGTTAGTATTCTTTCACATTAGCATATAACTACATGTTAATACATATAAGCCATGTTAAAGTTTATCTATTTATATACCACCACATCTCATATATGAGATAATTTATGTTCATATTCCAAATCAATCTAAGAACAAACTCTGTGAATAGTTAATAAGCTTAACATTCCAAGCTGCCAATGTGTGAGTAAATATCCTTTGGCTTACAAATGAAATCAATTTAATGTGTTGACAGCCATTTGACTGTGTGCACAGTCCAAAATGTGCAGTATATCAAGAACATCTTTCATTTGTGCACTCTCATTTATGATACAGAGATTGACTTCGAACCAGGCACAAAGGAGTGGCACATAAGCTCTCAGTTCACCTACCTTGGAATTGAGGGACGTGGGAGGGCCATTCTCCCAGGCTGGTGAACTTGGGCCATCATCTTCAATTAACATCTGGAGAAGGTGGCATGTTCATTAAACCTCTGAGAATTTTTTATTGGGTCTCTTCAGGTTGAAGGTCTTAGACTTATTGGTCTATTTAGCCTCTAACTTTTATTTATTTTATTTTTTGTACAAGGTGACATTCATAATTTGTATAAAAGGAATAGCTAAGTATATCTGTTCATTTAGACTACTTCATGCTTATTTCTTTCTTTTTGCATTTTTAAAAATACTGTAACAACCACTTACCTCCACCAGTTTTACTGACTTTTACTAACAAAACCCTCACTTAACAGCTTTCTAAAAACTTATCTAAAGAACTAACAGCACAAAACAAATACCAGTCTCAATATTTCAATGGTGATTATGAAACTTATCTAATACATAATAATGACAGCATAATAAAAATATCTACAATAAGCCACTAACTATTCAGTACACTCACTTTGGCAATTTCCTTCTCAAAGTGCTCTACACTATGAGGTTCCTTTTGAGCTTGCTCCAGGAGGAATGCGCGGCGAGCGGCAAAATAATGAGACCGACGGATCTTGAGGTAGGTGACCTGGGGATGGGAGAGTTATTGTGAGACAGTGTATAGTAGCAAAATGTAGTTTTGCACTGTAGTAGATAAATAATTGTTCTGAAAGAGAGAAATACTCACAGAGCAGGGGGATGGGGGGAATGGAAGAATAATAGAGTGGAGAGGGGGAAGTGGGGAAAAAAAGAAAGGAAGGAGGATGAAAGGGAGAGAGACTAAGAAGGAAAAAGAATCATGATAGAAATATTATCAAACAAAGAACTAAGAGGGGGGAGGGAGGGAGGAGGGGTGAGGGAGGAGGATGGATGGATGGATGGATGGATGATGGATGGATGTATGGTGGAATGGAATGAAGGATTAGGGAGGGGGGAGGGAGGAGGGAGGGAGAGAGAGAGAGAGAGAGAGAGAGAGAGAGAGAGAGAG